GTGCTGCTATGGAGTACATTAAGTCAAAAGTTGCTGCCCTAGGCAAAAGTCTAGCCAGAAGTTAAACTGAAGTACAGCCAGGAAGTGCTGCAATTCCACACCCGCCCAAAACCAAACAAAAAGCACAACAGAGAGACTAAAGTAATTAGGGCTGCATACATAATCTCTGGTCAAAGGTGTGTGAGGAACTAGAAGCTGCTGGAGACCTTGGAGAAGCAGCAGAAAATAGATGGCATAGCTTCAGACAGGCTACTGTTTCCTGCTACAGAGAAAAGAAAGGGTGACACGAAGTATTTTGTCTTGCACAGACGAAAGGAGCGGGAGCCAGGGAAACAGAAAGCAGCAGTCCTCTGACTTCCAGAGGACACATCGCTGACTCAATGAAAGTAAGCCTGATGGCCGAACTGAATTACTCTGTATCTACCAAGTAGCAAATGGAAAAGCGGTTAATAACACTGACATGTAACTTGTTTATACATATAAGACATTCAGTCTTAAACACTGTGCCTCTAATTCATGCTTTGCTTGGAATAAGTTGCTAATTTGATACCTCTCCCATCGCTGCTCCTACCAGAACAATATCATGAAGAATGGAACCGGAGCCCAATCCACCGAGGCGACTGCAAAACCTGGCAGGGAGTGGCCTTACAGAAGCCACAAGAAAACCAGAGGGGCAATTAGCTCCTGAACTCAATGAAAGTTTGACAGTGCACTAAATTTCTAAGATTCTTCTTGGCATCTGACGTTTCATCCGTGTCACTGACAGGAAGCACGGAGCACAGAGAATTACAGTCATGACAGGCATTAACATGGCACCGGATAACGCATTTCTGTGGGAACCGCATGGGTGGCGTATGATTCAGCAACTTCAAGCAACATAGCAAAATGTAAGTGAAGGAACTAGAACTGTTATTTCTGCAAGAAGTTAATCTTAACAGATAAATCTTCTAAGAAAGCAGTGTCTGCCTGGAGAGGAAAATGGCAAAAGCAGCTTCCCAGGAAGTTTATTCAGGGGGTTAGCAGCGCTGCTGCACAAGTGACACACCTGTACCTAAAGTTCCTTCTACTGTAAATACGTCCATTGCCACCACACTCTAGAAGTTTGCCAACCTCGAAAACATCAGCAAATCATTTTAACAATAGAGGTTTCCAATTTTTGAGTGATGCTGGATAATGCATAGGAAGTCACTGATTCGTTTAGAGAGTCAAGGCTTCTGAACTGTACCAGGCCTGTTGACGGCACCACTCCCTGGCTGCCGTTTGGACTTCCTCAAAATCCATTCTTCATGCCCTTCTATTCCTGATGATAAGATCATAGGTGATTTAAATATTTTTAACTATGGCTTAAAACTGTTGCTTAATTATTTAACTTTCTGCTCACAGAAGTTAAAGCAGCTAACAGGCTATGTAGCACCTGCTTGGGAGACCACCAAAAAAGGCACGAGCCACTAAGGCATGATTCAACACTTGGCAAATCTCAGATGGCAGAAACAGTGACTTGAAAGAATTCACTCAACCTGTTGTCACTGCCTAGATGACAGAAGATGAAAACAAAAGACCAAGAAAGATTTGTTACATCAGGCTCATGCTGGAAAGCTCAAGCTCCTTTCCTAAAATAAGCAAGCTAATTTTTGCTCTCAGTGGACTACAAGATTCCTCTCAGTTTTGGGAATTAAATACACGTTATGCTTTCCTGTCCCATGAATACTCCAAAAAAGCAGCAATTTAATCAGAATCCTACCAGCTGATTAAAGCAATACAGAAGACTGAAAAAGAATGGTTGTATTAAAAGAGATACTTGTGTGCCCCTTACAATAAACACATGCTCTACTTCAGTTCAGTGCATTAGAGCAAATGGTAAGAAATTAGAACAGTAAGGGAAAGCAGGCAATGAAAAAACTTCTTGCATGTTAAACATGCAAAGAGACTGCCTCTGCAAAGCGCTCACAGAAAAAGGATATGCCAAACTCCTATAGTACAGACAATTAATAAATTGTAGCTTTGTGAAATGAGTTAAAATGTTTTGAGTTTCAGCTTGAAACTATGAGTTGAGCCGAATATCAATTAATGCCTCAGCTGAGACGCAAACTATTTCATTTTTAAAGTAAAATAAGCTATCAATAAAACATTAACCTGATTAGTAATGACTTGCAGTAGGTCTGAGCAGGGTTGTATTCAGACCCCTGGGAATATGGTAGAAAAAAGCCCTTTCCCTCTCAAAGTGTTCTTGTGGAAGAACTACGTGATTAAATCAACTGAAAGAGTGATGATTATTGCAGCGTTCTCCACAGGTTTTGAACACTTGTGTAATACGGATTAAAACAATCGCAAGCAACAGCTCCGCCCCAGCTGCCGCGCTCTGTGCTGCAGAGCGCATCACAAGACGGCCCCCCACCTCTCCGCGGCGGCCTCAGGAAGCCTCGAGGAGGGACGCCGGCTCCAGGCCCCCGGCACAGACCGCTCACCAGAGTCTGTCAGAACCTTCCGACAGTAATTCTCATCCAGGCATTTGCCACAGCTCTCCAGATGCTGAGAAAAATCAGAAGAGACAAGAACTCGCTGTTCCCTAACCTAAGAGAGCAACAACTTACTGTTTCATAAATTCTTAATACAACTCCCAACTCTTCATCCAAGTCCCAGGTACCGAGAGGCTCCAACAAGCACGTG